TTGGCTTTCTGGGCTGCAAGTGCACGTTGCCGGCTTATATGAAGCCCTTAACTAGGGTTTCATTATGTAGGCAGTGTATGCCAGAAAAAACTGTTAGGTTATGTGGTAAAACTCCTCAGCACCTCCAAAGAGCACAGAGACACATTTGGGGGGGAGGGGAAGCGCAAATAATACTGCCCAGGTACTCCCAGGTGCATCACAGGAGGGCCATCAAACCATCAAAGACCCATCACAGCAAGCCCGGAGAACACAGAAGCACGGTGGCAGGCAGGGGATCCAAATTAAGGACTTGGAGGAAGGGCAACCCCATCTCAGCTCCTCCCAGGGCTGTCCCAGGAGAACCATCATCCCCATGGTCCAGTCATGAAATCCATCACCATATCTCGTTGGGAGCTCTCTGTATCACCTTTCAAAGAAGGATGGCTGCCTAGGGGTGCGGGACTCATGGGATGCAGGGAAAAAGCATTTGGGGATAGTACAGAATTTATTATGGGATGCTTAGGAGAGGAACCAAAGATGGGAAAAGGGAGGGATTTAGGAGATTTGGGGAAGAAAAAGTGTGGGAAAGAGAGGGGTAAGGGAGTAAAAGGGTCTACTTGCATGTAAGCAGAGACTAAGCAGTATGCAGACCTGGGGGCATGACCAGGCCAGACTAATCAAACCTGGGAGCATGAAGCTGTAGCAGCCTCTCTCCAGCTATCCAATCCACCATTTTCCTCTAATAATAATCTATGGTCTGGTTTAGGTGCTTCCAAGTAATCCAAGCTACAGGATTTACTTTCTGCTGTTATAGAGCAGTCTGGCAGTGTTTCATGGGGAGGAATCCAGTAAGGAGCAAATTCTCAAAGAATTGTGGAATTTCAACTTGCTCATCTACTCAGTCTGCCAAACTGATCTCTTAGCTTCCTGAGGACAATTCAAACCTTGATCATTGTATGGAATGAAAGGAAAAAAAATTACTGCAGAGGTTTGCTGGCACAGGTAACTTTTACTTTTTCACTGAACAGTTAGCACAAAAATTTACCACTGAATAGTTCCTTTTGACTGCTGCTTTTTATGCTGACTCTTGCACTTAAGTTTATTAGAAACACTAGACTACCTTGGCTGTGAAAAGTGAACAGTCCTCCAAATCAAAGGAGTGGGCTCATGAATTGGTAACTTCAGCAAGTATTCACTGGGTCAGGGACCAAAGGTTATCACCTTACCTCTCATATTCATCTACAGCTTTAGAAAGCTGAACAAAAAAATCATCCAGTCCTGTGCCAAGCACAGCAGAAACACCAACCACCTATAAAAGAAAACCATATACCAGAAGAGTAATTAAACCAAGTTTTTAGGTAACTGATGGATTATCACAGCTGGAAAAACTAAGCAGTTTCTATCTACAGCACTACAAACCATTTTGTGTGTAATACTGCGTAGGGTTCCACATAGAGCACTTAAAATATTTTTGTTTTGACTAAATTATCATCATCTGTATGAATGGAATCACTTATTTATTTTCATTGTCTTTCTTGTAATATCCATAAAGCCGTTTGCGTGCTTTTTCTTAACTAAGAGCTGACGAAAAACACAATTAGCTGAACCTTTTTAGCACGAACTACGGGATCATTAACATCCTCCAATGTATAGTGTTTTCAGGGAAACTGAATGGATTTGTCCTCTCAAAATCTGGTAAGTGGAAAAAAAAACCCACACTTTTTCTTGCATCAGCAAATATGTAGGATTTTTTTGTTTGCTTGGTTTTGAGATTCTTTCCCTTCTTCCTGCATAGTAAATTGCCCAACTGTACTCGACACTTTCAGAACAAGGAAAATTATCTCAGATGGGAGATGCTGCAACACAGAGCATTACCTCTTACCAGCCTATCTCAGCTTTCTTCTGATGGTTCACAATTCAGTATTAAATGATACAGGCTGCCAGTCAGTGTGACAAGCAACTAAAGTTACTTTATGTTCAAACCAGCAAATTCTCGCCCCGAGTGCAAGGCTCATCAACAGATTCCAGTTCAAAAGGACAGTGCAAACCTCTTTTACAGAAGGACAGATGGTTAAGGTGGGAAGACGCCTCTGGAGATCATCTAGTCGAACCTCTCCTGCTCAAAAAGCAAGCAATTAACTAGAACAGGTTGCTCAAGATCTTGTCTGAGTGTGTTTTGAGTATCTGCAAGGATGGAGACTCCAGAATTTCTCTGGACAATCTGTTCCAGTATGGTCAAATCAGTACAATTACAGCAATTCTGTTTTCCTCTTCTGTTTAGACATAGTTTCCTGTATTTCACTTCATGTCTACTGACTCTTGTCCTTTCATAGGGAACCACTGAAGAGAGCCTGTCTCTGTTTTCCTTACATCCTCCCATCAGTTCTTTATACACATCAATAATATCCTCCTTGAGCTTTCCCTTCTCCAGGCTTTTATGAGAGGTACTAAAAAAAGGAAGATTCTTACCTTCAGTGAACTGTAAAATTCATCCAACACTAAACTCATAGAACGAGTCAGGTTACTGACGTAGGATGTCTCTTGATTCAGGGCATCCTGAAAAGTCTCGAAGTCCTGCATCCATTCTACTGCAAAACTGTGGTCAATGATATCAGTCTGGAAGGAGAAGAGAAAATCTTCTGAAGTTATTACTTCTGAAGTTATTATTACGATGAATTTTTAGCCTTAGGCTGTTAAGTGGACAAATTAAAAATTTTAATTTTAAAGTTACTTTCAAAATTCTCATCTTTTCAAAATATTCAGCCCTGGTCTGAAGTTTTCCACACTCCGTTTATAATCAAACCAACTAGTTGAATATAGGAAAAGAAGACAAACAAGCACTATCCCAGTTTTAAATAGGCGTTTTAAGGAAAGAATTGCAAGTTTGAAGGCTTCTATGGTTCACTGGAAAGGGGCATCCAAAAATTGCATACTGTACAAAAAAGTTTAAGTTGTAAATATTAGATTGTATGGTTGAGGCCAGACAAGAACAGTCTTCACTGAGGACCCCATCCATTCTTGATTGCCTTGGGGTCAGCAAGGAAGAGGGAGCCATTTCCACGTTGGGTAACAGCCTACAGGATCTTTTTATAAAGTGAGCTGTGCTCTAACCTGACGAAGTTATAATCTAAACGCAGTGCAAGATGATAGACACAAACAGGTGAGATGGTTCCATAATTTTACAGGGATTAGTATGTAAACAGTCTATTAAAGAGTTTTATAAACACATCTTGCCACATGTATATCCACTATTGTCACAATATAGAGACATTTAAAACTCTGATATATTTCATCTCCCAGCACCAAGGGGAAGGAGGAAAGCAGATAAAGAAAGTATTGCCTAGCATTACTCAAGAGATTTAAGACAGAACTGAATCCATCAAGGGTCAAAGCCTGACTATTTAGAGTTAGCTTGATTAAATTCTAGAAATAAAATTAACTCTACAAATTACTTTGGTTTTTTCCCCTCTGCAAATCTTAACGTTGCTTAAATCTGTGTGTTTGTCACTGCCCATACACCAGTTCCTTGGGATTCTTCCATTCCCATCAACACTAAAATTTAAAATGCTTGTCAAAAATTTCTGCAAATGCTGTTGGCTTTACTTTTTACTGAAGGCTAAACATCAGATCAAAATGAAGGTTAAAGTAATGAATCTTAAGCCTTTCCCTACCTATACTGATGAAGTCCCATTTCTTTCAGTCTTTCAAAAAAATTTATTTTCTTAAGAATGATTTTCCTACCTCATGCCTTTTTCTACTAAAAAAGCCTATCAGCTTATTCTAAAAATACTGTCTAGAGTTATAAAGAAAACAGCGTACAAAAACTTGCTAAGTAAGCGAGCAGATATGAAAGACATGCATGGTTTGGGTCACAGGGAAGATGTGTGTAGTTGGACAGTAATCCTACTCAGCCGGTGTGAGGTAAAATTTCACATTCAAACATGGGTTTTCTAGAGGAAGTGTATGGGATATACGTGCACCCACACACAAAAGCTTGCTAGGTTGGGGAGCAATTCCTGGAATACAAAGGATGTCTGTGGGGAAAAGAAAGAATATTCACACCAAAAATCTATCTTTTAACGTGTGAAATTTTTATGTTTAAAGAGCCGGCTACTTGTTAAGTTCAAAATCATTCCTTCAAGTCTACAAGTACCTTATACAACAGTGGAGATGTATACCTAGGCTAGTATCTGCTTTCTGGCAAATACTGGCATATTTTTAGCGTTACTAATCAGGACCAAACACTTTTTGTTAAGTTTTGCCCGCTACAATACATGGGACTCCTTCCTCAAAACAGGCAGGTGTTACACAATTCCTACTGTGAGTCATCAGCCTGCTGCTAAGTAGAAAGAAATAATGATTAAGACAATTGTTCTGAGGAAGCAGGGTACTGTAAGAGCAGATTCAGTAATGAACTTACCCTTATGTTACAAAGTTTCCTTACAGCCTAAGGTTAAGGTGCAAAACCTTTTTCAAATGGTTACTGTCATCTCTAACTCAAACATTTGGGTTTGATAACCGTCCAACTCTGATTCTTCTTGTGCATTTGTATATCAGATTAAAGACCCTTTTAGATTTGGTTTTCAGCCTGCAGCTCGCTCCCGGCCTCTGTTTTCTAGAAAATCTATTATTGTAGTAAGACAAAGACACTACAGCAAAGCAAGCTTAACAGAACAACGTTCCACTAGGACATAGAAACCACAGCTTTAACTTACTTTGTTCATGACAACAATGAAAGGTAGCTTTGTCTTGTACAGGATGCTGGGGAGGGGAACAAAAAAACCCACACACACAAAATGTTAAAAAATTAATTTAAATTTCACTAGAATAGAAAACAAGTTAAGCGTAAGGCAGGCAAGACTTGTGCAAAACTGAATACATTCGACTTCAAAAGATAATTATTTTTCTCTGTATCAATTAGAACATAATTTTTTCCCAGATCCTGCTTACCACAGTTGAACAAAATATGCCACCTCACCCCTCAAGATGTAAGTGCACATCCGTAACATATAAAATCTCCTTCTACACACCCAGTTGACTCCGATTACTATTTCTATGACTCTCAGACCCCAGTTTTTAACTCTCTTGGCATTTTCCAATTATTGTGACTCAAACCTTAGGTTTTGAAATATTATTTGTGAACTGAGCAATGAATTCAAGTAACTCAAAACACCTACAACGCAAAACTACCTTGAAACATGAGCTTACCTATTCATTTCACTGTCTGTATTCTAGCACCTTTTGCCCAACACTAATGTCAGAAAAAGCAGCATGTGATAAGACACATTTTGCATACTCCTACCACAGTGACATAACTTCTGACCTTGGTACAAGGGTTGATAGGGGTTTTTTTAAAACGTTTTACCACCATTTACCATGAATTATGACAGCTCTAGGTATGTTGATCTTTACATAGGTATTTACTCCCTGGTTTAACATGAAAGAAAACACATAAATCCATGTGTTCCATGTCCTTCCAAGGAGGAAGACAATAAATCAAGAACTCCATGCTATGCTGAGCTCCAAACAAATTTTGAACAATCACTGAAAGTATCAATAATATTAATGAAATAGAATAAAATATTTTATGTTTACAAAAAAGAGCTTAAACTAGGCTACCTTGATACATCTTAGATAAATTATTTTATAAGCAACAGGCAATGTGTTGGATCTGATGTAACTAGCCTTCATCATACTAAGGTCTTATGGATTATTTAATGTTTTCGGTTGGAGTTTTGACCCAATGACCTCAGGATGTCCACTGGTACCTAAATTATTTTGCTTATCCAATGAGAAAACCACTAAGACAGAATAACCAAAACAGCAGATTAAGTGTATACGAGGCATCAAAGTGCACTTGCAGCCCAGAAGGCCGATTGTTGGAGCGGGGCCAGAGGAGGTCCCAGCAATGCTCCGAGGACTGGAGCAGCTCTGCTGGGAGGACAGGCTGGGAGAGCTGGGGGGGTTCAGCCTGGAGCAGAGAAGGCTTCAGAAACAGCTTATTGTGGTCTTTCAGTATTTAAAGGGGGCTTATAAGAAAGACAGAGAGAGACTTTTTAGCAAGGCCTGTAGTGACAGGATAACGGGCAATGGTTTTAAAACTGAAAGAGGGTAGGTTTAGATTGGACATAAGAAAGAAATTTTTTATGATGACGGTGGCAAAACACTGGAGCAGGTTGCCCAGAGAAGCTATGGATGCCCCATCATTGGAAATGTTCAAGGTCAGGTTGGATGGGGCTTTGAGTAATGTAATCTAGTGAAACCTGTCCCTGCCCACGGAAGGCAGGATGGACTAGATGGTCTTTAAAGGTCCCTTCTAACCCAAACCTTTCTGTGATTCCCCTCCAAAATAAGTATTGAAGAGACTCAGCAATCAAAATAGATGGACTGCATTTTCACCTTTTCTTACCTGCAGGCATACAGCATGTTGGACATAAAGGTGATAGGATTAGTACTGCGAGAGGTGTCCATCACATAAACAACAACTGAAGGAAAAGAGGAAGCCTGGAAACACAAAGTAAAAGATATTTTAATTAGAAGTACATGCTGTTCAACAGTCACTTCTTTCACACAACCTCACTGTCAACTCATGTAGAAAACACTTACCAAGGCCTCAGTTATGATGGTTCCTGATGCTGACCAGGTGAATACCTCAATTTGCCCTGGTGTGTCAATAATAACATACCTATTAAGAAGTCACCCCCGACAAACAATAAGGGAAAATTAGTTAAACATGAGGTCCTGTTCTGGCTAGATTACCATAAGCACATAACAGCAAATCACAGGATTATTCTGTTACAGATCAGAAAAGCTTCCTCCAAACAGCAACAAGATTTATGGGCATGCCTGAAAATTTCCTGAATTTTCTAAGAAGCACATACTCTCTTCAAACTCTTCAGAAGAAGAATTAACTGTTGTCTATTCGAACAGTGCATGAGAAAAAATCACAGTCTAATGGACAAGAAAAGCAGAACTGGAATCAGCAGACATTTCTTCGATGGATCCAAAGAAAGTCTAATTTATCTGTTCTAATTCTGTGCCTTTTTCCACATGAAATTTATACCAAGGCTGAAAAAAATCCTAGAAGACATGCAGAGAACATGTTTAGAATTTCACATGGTTGTCCCACACTGATCCCAGAAAAGTAGAACTTGGTAGAATGTACTCACTTGGATGCATTTTGTCTTTTTTCAATAAACTTCATCACCTGATGGAAAAAGGAGTATACTTTGTATTTAGGCTCACAACATTAAATTTTCATAATAATTTCATAACAGTAACTACATTAACTTGCACAGCTGCGTGTATGTATCAAAAGAAGATTAAAGTCTCTAAGCTTTTCAATGTGTGAAAATGCCCTACTAAGGAATGATGGAAAATGATCAGACACTGCATAGGTCAAAGACAACCTTGATTTTGTCTGTGTTCTAGTACCTGGCTAAAGAAATGGTATAACAAACGCAGTTGTTCCTTACCTGTTTACTAAAAGATTGTGCACTGTCTCAGTATCTTGCATAAGTTCCCACCCCAGCACTGATTTAGCATTATGATTTAAGAGAGCAGTCAATTACCAAATAACCCTAGGAAAACCTAACCCATTTCCGGAAGTGACCTTCCCTACTTCAAAATCAGAACATTCATATGAAAGATTTTATAGTGAAGATAGTGCAACAGAACATTATGTACAAAGACTAAAGAATGTTCTGTATATATGGCTTCTAAATTTTACTTTTAAAAAAGCTGAAAAACTGAAATCTCTCAAATGAAAGCTAAAGCACTTGGACTGCTTAGTAAAATATATGGTTCTGTATGGAGAATACTCATGTAACTCCAAAGAAATACTAGGAGGCTAATCAAACACAGCGCTCTCTGAGACTCCAAACACACCCCCACCCCCCGCCGAGTCTCCAAGCACAGTATCTGCCACACAGTATCACAAATCGCGATAGGAGGACAAGGTGTAATGGTTTTAAACTAAAAGACGGCAGATTTCAACGAGATACATTTTTCACAATGAGGGTGGTGAAGCACTGGCCCAGGTTGCCCAGAGAGGTGGGTAGGTGCCCCACCCCTGGAAACATCCCAGGTCAGGTTGGACAGGGCTCTGAGGAACCTGATCTAGTTGAAGATGTCCCTCCTCATTGCAGGGGGGTTGGACTCAATGGCCTTTGAAGGTCCCTCCCAACCCAACTATTCCCTGATTCTATGATCACACAGGAACAGCCTCGTACCTGATCAAATCTTGTAGCAAAGAGATTGAGTGAGGTCACTATTCCACCATTTGGGCCCAGCCCATATCTAGATGCTTCATTTAGGAAAAGCAGATGATTATGGAGACCTCTGAGGGCTTCTTTTTCAATCAATAGTGGGCCATGTACAACGCGCATTGGATACCTTGCGGCAAAAGACAATACCCCTAATACACAATTATGTCTTCTAGGTGATGTAGTAGCATAACAAATACAAAGTCGTCTCTCTCTTGCCCAAACACGTGATGGACAAAAGGAAAAGGGGCTATGTCATTGCTTCCCCAAGCATTATCATTGTGACAAAGGGAAAACATACGTATGTGTATACATCAAAGCCATCTTCGTCTTTCCAAAAAGAGTTACAACACAGGCAGTAACTCAGAATTTAACAATGCCCTGAATGCACTTAATTTTAAGAATTCATACTTCAAAGGATAATTGAAATATTTCTTGCACAAATAAATTTTTAGCAGAATTTAAATGATAATAGGAATGAATGTTGTAAAGATACTCAAAACATCAGCTTAGAGGTGAATATTCCAAAATCCTTTTTCATGCATACAGATCTGTATACTAGTTATGTTCACAGAAACAAAGAATTATTTTTTTAAATTGCATAAGAACCAGCACCGATTCATCAGTACATGTCTTCTATGGCCAATACTCTCAGTATCCAAACACAAGGCCAGATACCCTCCTTAAGCACTATTTAATGGGATGCTTAAACTCTAGCAACGGCTAACAGACACAGTAAAGCAAATAATGCATCTACATACCAAAGTGAAGCTTATACTTGGATGTTTTGCTGGTAACTCCAAATCAAACAACAGACAAAATCAAGAATCCTATCCCCCACAACCTTTATTCTTCTCTAAAATATTAAATTTAATAGTCACACTAGCAAGTCAAATCCAAACACTGCATATTACTGCCACCTGCACAAGCTATTACTTAGGAGACAAAGGACCTCCATACCGCTCTGGAAGTGTGGCCATTTTAATGTAATGTTACTGAACTACAGTCAAACTATTGTGCAGCAAGAGCGCACAGTCAAAGTCTTTGAGATTCAGAAAGACAACAGTGCTTTGATTATGGTCAAACGATGGGAAAACTGTTTTCTCTACCTACTACAAATAGGAATTTGCATATTTGTTTATAACAAATAAAATTAGACATGTTAAAACACGGGGGGAAAAGGCTGCTGGCTTCCACAAAGAAAGATACAAGCTCTTCAAAAGAACAGAAAGAAAAACGATGTGGGCAGAGAGCCTATTATTTGTAAAAATGTACTATTAGGCAGAATGACTTTTAACACAGGAGAAAATTACCTAAGGAATACCAAATCTTGTAGAACATACGTTTCTAACCTCACATGCAAGAAATACATAGTCAAAAACTTCTGATCTTCTGCATTACTGCAATTCCAAACGCCTCCTGCCCCCTTTGTCGTGGTGTGCAGAAGTGACAGACAGATTTCACAAAATCTCAGATTTCAAATACCATTATTTAGACAAAAAAAGGATACTGTTTCATGACTTCTTTGTACTTCACAGTGTCCCGGATATCTAGAGGAGGAAGTTGTATGAATAGTTTCAGAACATCAATTTTAAAATAACCTTCTTATTCAATTTGCTGATAGGTGAAAGCCCTTCTTTTTCTAGCAAGTCTCCTTTTGTCTCAGTAGTAGATCTATCACCACCAAAAATCTCTTAAGTAGGATAAATAAAATCTAACAGATTTGCTATGCTGTCGACATACATATGAAATTAAATGTAATTCATGCAAAGCACCACCAATTTAGGTATTTAGCAGTAACTGCTTCAGTTTAATTTTATTCTCAGCTGATCAACATCAGTTAACAAAGTATACATACCCAACTGTATTATTAGAGATCCAGCACTTGAACACATACTCTAATTATTCATTTGACATAAATAACACAACTTTGGTATCCACACTGCCTTTCTTATCCTTCGGAGAGGCAGGCTGACAAACTTTAAGAGACAGGATCCTCACAAACCTAATGCTTTATAAGGCCTTTGGATCGGCTAAACATAAGGTCTGTTTTATTGTTAAAGTATTTTCTCTAAAATTCACATATTTTAAAGTGCTTTAAAGAAGTTATTTGGTAGCACATACGGTTACCACTGTTCTGGATGTAGGGAAGCAGACTGAATCTGCTGCTACGTTCATCACTGACAAAGGAAAAAAAAACCCAAAAGAACCCAAACACATCAAATCACTCCGGATGACGTAAAAAAAAAAAAGTACAAACGCGATGGAAGGATGCCGCTGGTCCTAAAAACTCACACGTTAAAGACTGACAGGAGAAAGGAGTTCAATTAAAAAAAAAAAAAAGTCTTAAAAGTCCTTCTTGTCTTAGAACCTGGAACCACTTAAAGAGACTACAAGCAACCCAGCCAAACACCTCACACACCCTGCCCCTCCGTCCCCCGCCCCGGTTCCACGGAACATGACAAGCAGTATTCCAAAACCGCTGTTATGTACCTACGGCAAAACGCGCTTTCTTCTGGCGGGCTCCACGAACAGGCCACACGGCTG